GGGGGGGGGGGGGGGGGGTGCGCTTTGTGCGCTGTCTCCTGGCATGTCTCTCCAGCGTCACGTGATTTAGATGTCACGTGCTCGAGCCACAGGGAAAGCAGATGCTGTCCTCTTGGCTAAATATCCACAATCCAAGGCAAGGGAGGTCTGATAGAGGCTAGTGGCTAGGCATTCGCACTGATATCTTGACCTTTAGCTGTGTCAAGCAGGTGCACGATGGCATGTCAGGTGCCCACAACCTCTCTGTCAAGCTTGGGTGTCCGGGTCATTTGCTGACACCGCGACGCGACGCACGCGCGCGTCAGTACACTTGACTCTTGCTTGACTCAAGACTAACTACCACTGTGGCTGGCATCGGCCGAAGTTCAATCTGCTACACCTCCATACAACAAATGATCCAGCCAGGGGTCGGCTCCTCGAAGCCTTGTTCGCGTGCCTCACGATTCATCAATCGCGATGGGGGCGTTTTGTGGACAAAAACCTTTACTAGACAGAGGTCCATGTAGGACATTTGTACTCAAGACTCGGCGAGCGTGTGCTTGGCACTTGTGCCGGATGGCGGACGAAGCGGCCGATGCAATGCCTCACCCATGCTAGGCGGTCTTTCAGGCTTTATAGCTGTGCATGATTCCACCCGAGCCCGCCTTCGTTACTTGCGCTGCACTCAACGCCACGGCGACATGCTCTGAGTGAAATCTGACATTCTTATTAGGCTGTCAAGATTACAAAAGGATGGCCTCCTTGACGAGGCTGGCATCGCGATGCCTGCCATGTCTTCCACCATCTCCCCGTCTCTCATCAACCTTCATCAATCCCAAGCGCCACGGACTCTTCCAGTGATAGCCTTCTCTTCGAGTTTGCCGTACCCCAACCGCTTCTACAGTCCTGAGTTGCGAATCGCATGTGCATCGGAACACCGGCAAGTCGATAGCCTTCACCTGCCTCGAGCGACGTAGATTGTCCTCGAATGATCTGAGACGCAATTTGTGTCCTGCCATGAAGCAAACCCTTCCCGAATCTTCTACCAATATTTCGATACGCTCCACAGCAACGTAGTATCGCACCGCCTTCTTCGCGTAGAGCACCACAACAAGCTCTCGCATCCGAAGCGGTCATGACCTGCCAAGCTCACTCACACTTACGACTGCGGTGAGGACAGGCGGACGGACGGCGAGCAGCGTGTACACTCAGTCTCGCGTTGGGAGGATGCCGTGGCATACGCTCCGCTACATCCACTGCATTCTGAAAATGGAGTGGCGAGGGATGCTCGAATGGCGCCAAGAAGCGGCTCAATGACCCATCCCACGCTAACAACCTGAGCAATCTGTGCTCCGCTCAAGAGCAGGACGGGGCTGAACTTGCCCGACCCGTTATGACCCGATGCGTGGGAGTGCTACACAATTTCGGCGTGAGTCAAGAGTAGAGACCAAGCAGGGTTCCATTCACGGCCGAGACCCATTCCCCGCTCAGAAGCCACTCTCATAGCACCAAGCTACTTCGACCGAACCCGATCGTTGCACATCACGACCGAAGGATGATGAAGAGCATGCCTATTTTCTGGCACGTCCCAAGAAGAGCCGCAGCAGACAAGCTTTCGCTCTTGTCCTGCAGCTGGTTGAACCCTGCTGCGAGGATGCCTGCATGGCGTAGGCAGGGCCCGACAGCGGGCCTACTTTAACAGAGCAGCTTGCGTGGGGCCCCGCAAGCATTCGCGTCGGTCGAGCTGTTGCCCTAGTGCAGTGTACCTGCAGCACACGCGCGCCTTAATTACGAGGTGGGGCGCGCCAAGACTTTTCCAAATGCGCACTACTCCATCCCCGCGCGACACTCCATCTCACCCGTGCATGCAGCCACTCTGTCCGTTGGTCTTCTTTACTGTGGTACGCACATGATGTGCACTTTCGCAGCCATTCTTTCTACGTCTCTCCTTCGATCCGGCTGAGACTGCTGTTGGAAGTGCGATGCCCTCGATGCGGAGAAGCATGACACCAGCAATCTTGAATCCTTGGCACGGAAAAGTCGCGAGCGAAATCACCACCACAGCTTGTCCACGCCGCCGTGACCATGGCAAGGATGCTGGTTGAACAGCACACGAGGGCAGGGGTGCCTTACTTGCAGACGTTCTCATCATCACTCATGGCCAAAAAGGCTCAAGACTGCAAGCGTCGGAAGGTATCGAAACACTACTTTTGAACTCCGCATTGTGCGATCTAGGGCGGCCGGCAAAACGTTCTCGCCGATCTCGCCGTCTCCACAACATCCCTGCGGACCGGACCGCTCGGAGCGTCACTTCTCATCCGCTTCAAGCGCTTTTGCTTAGGCAATGATGAGCTCACCCCCCTGCACTCAAGGAAGCGATCGGAGAAATGGCGCAAGGCAAGAGATGTTCTTGGCACCATCATGTGCTGAGCGACGATTCGAACGCCCCAACTTTTCGTCTCGACGCGCGTACGCAAGCTCGTGTTTCTACACCTGGCGTCCCGACTTGGCATGCGGTTCCTTTGCAAGCCCGCGACATCCTCTCCGAGACGCAGCTTATCAGTGAGGAGGTCAGACAGCATGCAGAGCGTCTTCGTGATGTTCGTATACCTGCCGCTTCAAGCATCGTGTTGCGATCATGTACGTCAAACTCTTCTGACTGCACGTCACGGTTCACGATTGTGATCGCGAGTCGATCGCCGCCAGCATCGACTCACAACCGCGTTCGTGCGAGCTCGTCCATGTCCACATAGGTCGAACGAGTGCATATGGGCTCGTGTGGCTGCGCTTGCATCTCGCTCATGCTAGCATGCACCCTCGACACTTTAGCCGGATCTGCAGTCTTATCTGCATGGTGCAGCTGTTGTGCTCGGACCCCTCGTCGCAACAAAGAGAAGGCCAGCGCTTTTTAGCTCAGACGATTGCCTTTTTGGCATTGCCCCAGCCTAAGAGAAGAGGCTGGAACATCTCGGTGGATGGACAAGGCAAAAGAGAGCAGCAAGACCTTGCTGTCCTGCCGCTGTGGACCATTTCATGTTTGTCGTTGCTATGCTCGTCGGGGCGCACGAAAATGGCGAAAGCTGCTGCTTGATGGCCAGCACACGCACGGAGCGAGCATCGTCGGTCTAACCTCTCCAACTGCAGCAGGACGACTGAAAGACTGACGACTACAGTCTGGCGTGCTGTCTTTAGTTGTCCGTACCATAAAGGCAAAAGCGGAGTACATGCGTGCAGGCCGGCAATGCATGCTTTGCCACATGATGCTGCAGTATGCCGGCCGCCACCCAAGACGAATTAGTCCGAGTCAAACGGCTCGCGCCTTCAATTAGTCGTGGCCCGCACAAGCCGACCGCGGTGACCTATAGCTGCTGATGAAGAGGAGCACTTCAAATCGTGAAGTGGGCGTACAATTCAAGCGTCGAGCTTCTCACAGGTATACGCACTATACTGGGCGTTGTACGGTCCTTGCACGGACGCAGCAGCAGACGTACACCCACGACTCTTGATCGGCACAGATGTGCCACGTCAGGGGAACAGGCCGACAAGCAAGTAGTAGTACAGTATACCAAAGCAGAAGGTATATGCAGCGAGTCTTACATTCTTGGCATTTTTTGTTTCACGTCTGCTGCATGGATGGGCCCGCCTCTAGTTCATCTCAAGAAGACGAATGCTGGGGCTCTCGATTGTGTGCAGATCGCGCTGCAAGCCTCCTCGTCGCAAGACCGAGGGTGCAGCACCTATATCGGTGTCGGAACAAGCGCGCAATGGTCAGAGAGAACTCTCGACTGTGATACGCTATACACCAGCAGCATCTTGTTGCCCCAACTCGACTCTGGAGTTGATGTGGGGCAGTGGCTCTCTTATCTCTGTGCACACTCTGACTTGCATGCACCGAATCCGCGACGAGGGCCCAGATCCCTTCTGAGACAGACGAAGAGCAATGTTCGACACCGACGCCACTCGAGAGGGCTATACGCGATGACTTTGGCTTGATTGCTTCATTGCTGATCCTGCCATACGCATGCTGCTCAACGCCTGCTCAATTAAGGCGGGCGCATACATTGGCAGCTGACACATATCGAACACATTTTGTGATTCGCACGGCCACATTGGTCCGTGACGTGACTGCATGGCAATGCTGGCAATGGTCTGGGGTAAGCAAGTCTGCATCGGTGCGATTTGCATTCTTGGACATCGGCCCACGGCTATAACGATCGAGAGCGGGCTTTTGAACCCACCTCCGATTTCTTCCGTTCTGTCTTCCTCGATGGAGGGGAAAGGGAGGGCACTAGCCACGCCGAACGCGGCGGTCAAGCAGTACGGGAGAGGAAGAACATGACCGCGCGAGTCGTTAGGAAGGATGCAGCCCCGTGCGCGACGCATCGCTGCAACAAGCAGTTTGACCAATCATTCGTTCCTGAACTAATGCGATCAGGCTGTAGGAACGAGCATCAATGTGTTTGACCCTTCCGGTACGGTATCGTACCTACAGTAGTGCGTCCGTGCGCAACACAGGTGAGTGCGGGATGCATGGATCGAGACAGCGCGGAGAACCTCCGCATGGTGAATCATTCGGCCCTCCTCTCACGATCCTCGAGGCGGTAAGAGCACCTCGTATCCGCGCGCCGCAATGAAAGCCTTATAAAGCTGCCGTTTTGCTCCCCCCTCGTTTCAATCGCTGTTTCCCCGTGTCACTACACTCATCTGGCCCTTCTCGTATCTCCCTTCCCTCTCCCCTCTCACCGCCACCCCACTTCTTTCTTCCCCACCTTCGCCTCCCAACTTTCCCTCCGACACCCACAGCCATCGAGGCAACATGGACACGGTGCAAGTGCTGCCTCGCGCCCAGCGCACATCGATCGACTCCAAATCGTCCAAGAAGACGTCGGACCTGGTCACCAAGACTTCGGACCTCGATGCTTTGAGCCAATCGGAGAAGAGCGTGGCAGCTGGACCTTCCATCGCAAAGCAGCTCGAAGGTCAAGGCGAAGTGCAGTTGGACTACTCTGGCTTTGCTCAAAAGACTGACCCAAAGGAAAAGGCGCTCGTACGCAAGATGGACGTGCGCATCATGATTAGTCTGTGGAGCCTTTACATCCTCAACTATTTGGACAGGTAAGTCTTGATGCGACCCCAACGCGGCCTTGTGCAGGGATATGGGTCAGCTCACGCTCATCTGCCTACTCTTCCAGAAACGCCATCGCTCTTGCTCGCTTGAACGACCTGGAAGAAGATCTCGGCATGACGGACACTCAGTATCAGCTCGCCGTCTCCATCCTCTTCATCGGCTACGTGCTATTCGGCATTCCTTCCAACATGATCGTCAGCCGAATGAAGAAAAATGTTCCCACTTTCATGGTGGGCACCATGATGCTCTGGGCCGTGCTCAGTATCTGCACAGCTTTCGTCAAGAATGCAGCAGGTCTCTACGCCGTCCGCTTCTTCTTGGGTGTTGTCGAGGGTGAGCCGCCTTTCTAGCTGGCCCTTGCATTGGCTGGCTGCATTGCACCGCACAGTGGAACGCTGCTCATGCATGTCCCTGCCTACTGCTCTTCACAGCTCCCTACTACCCCGCAGCCCTCTTCGTCTTGAGTCAATTCTACACGCGTACGGAGCTGGCCACGCGCATCAGCATTCTGTACACCGGCAATGTTCTCGCCACTGCCTTTGCTGGTCTTATCGCCGCAGCAGTCTTCGAAATGGACGGCTTGATGGGCTACGCAGGCTGGAAATGGTTGTTCATCATCCAAGGCAGCATCACTGGCGTAGTCGCTCTGTGCGCTTGGCCATGGCTGCCCGCGACACCCAGCACCACTCGCTGGCTGAATCCCGAGGAGCGCGAGCTCGCAGCTTCTCGCATGTTGCGCGACAAGGTCGATGAAGGCCCAGAAGGTACGGCATTGGATGGTCTGAAGCAAGCGGTCAAGGATCCTCGCGCTTGGGTCTTCGTTCTCATGCAAACGCTCCACCTCGCCGCCAATGGCTTCAAGAACTTTTTCCCATCCGTCGTGCAGACGCTGGGCTTTGGACGAACCATCACCTTGGTGCTCACCTGCCCACCTTACCTCATAGCCGCTGCCGTCTCCGTCGCCTTTTCCATCTCTTCGGGCAGAATGAATGAACGGTGAGTTTTGCAAGGCGTGTGGGCGAAATTGACCGCGTCTTGGGAGGCCACCAGCTTACGGTCGACCGACGATGCTTTGCGACTCAGCACTTGGCACTTGACCGCCTGCAAGACCATCGCGACTATCGGCTTCGTGACTGCTGCAGCCACGCTCAACACTGCTGGTCGTTACGTCGCCATGATCATCTTCTGCTCGGGCACCTACGTGGCCAACTCGATCATTCTAGGCTGGGCCTCTACAGTATGCAATCAGACGAAGGAGAAGAAAGCGGTGGTCATCTCCATGATGGTCTCTGCCTCTAATGCCAGTTTCATCTACACGCCATTCTTGTTTCGAGATCAGGACAAACCTAGATACGCATTGGCCATGGGCGCCATGGCTGGTTTCAGCATACTCTGCGCAGCTACGGCTTGGTCCATGAAGTTCATTCTCATCAAGCAGAACAGAACCTTGGATGCTACTACGCGCTATCCTTACTAGGTCTCCTCTCTCCGGGCGCCATGGCTGGTTTCAGCATACTCTGCGCAGCTACGGCTTGGTCCATGAAATTCATTCTCATCAAGCAGAACATAACCTTGGATGCCACTGCGCGCTATCTTTACTAGGTCTCCTCTCTCCGTCCCAGTCCCCGCATTCCAAAGACAAGGGAACGTTCCCTGTACTGATCACAGAAATTTTTGGAAGCCTTTTCATGACGTAAGTGTCGGTCACATGCCTTCCTGACGCCCCTCTCACCTCGCCCTCTATACGATTCTGTCACGCACCTTGACCCTCATCTGTACGACTTGTCCCCGCCCAAATGTATAGCCCCAGAATTGAAGCCATACTTGGAACCTGCATGGGTGGTAGAAGGACGAAAGTGCTCCAAGGGCGTGATGTGGTCTGACCTGACCTCACCAGCTTCGTTGGTGAGGCCGACTAGGCTGATTCGTTCGTTCGCTGGTGCAGCACGGCAGGATGGATGGGTCGCTGTTCATCGAGCAAGAGCTAAATCGCTGCACCGATAGCGAGTACAAGTCGACTCATCGCTTCGCAGCTCCTTCTACTCGAGAAGACGGGGGCAACGCACCCGAAAAGTTTTGGTCACCAGTGTTCCTGAACCACTCTCGCCGAGCTCGGGCGCAGGCAGGCCGTCTCTAGCGTCGTGGAAACGTTACGGTGCTTCATTTTGGGCGTCATCTTTGAAATTCTCGAGCCCGCGTCTGTATGAAATACATGGAGACATTGTAGCCCTCACGTGCTCAGCGCACGATGTGTCATTTTGAAGCGCTATAGAGCCATGGAAGCGTCGAACGGAAAAGTGAGGCACAACGGTGACATGAAGCAGTGACTGATTGAGAAGAAGAAATCTCGCGTCGATTCGAGTCGCGGGTGGAGAGAGGGGGGTCGATAGAGGGCATGCACGCTCGCTTACGGACAAGCGGAATGACCAGGCGGCAAGTGGTGTTCGACTAGCCCGAATTGCCGGCCTGACCTTGATCAAGACGCCTGGCAAGCGCGTCGAGCATGGCCTCTTCATCCGTGCCGGTCTCGCTGGGTGCATCGCTATGTGTAGACTCTTCCTGTTGAGTCAGAAGCTCAAACGAGGATGTCTGCGTCGAAGGATCAAGGTTGCCTGCTTGGTCGAGATGCAACCGTTGTCGCTTACCATCACCATCGTCAACTTCGGCGAAGGTCGGCCTCGCCGGGACTGGTGATCTTTGCCGCTTCGATCTGCGCGACCAGAAGGGCAGAATTCGATTCATCAGCGCTGCCGACGCTCTGCGAGCCTCATTTGCGTATCTCACCTCGGTTGAGTCGGCGGAGTAGGGCCATCATTCCAATCAGGAGCATTGTGCGGAGCACCTTCCTCCGCCGTCCTGTCATTCTCGTTGGCGTCGTAATCGTCTCTATCCTCATCATCATTCTCATCCTCCCCTTCGTCATCGCCGTCAGCCAAGAATGCGTCCACTTCCTCATCAGCTGCGCTCCAGTCCATGCCATTGCCAAAGCCCGCAAAGCTGGACAGGTCAGCTTGATCTTCTGACAGCACGGGCTGGTCGTTGCGAGGAGTCGAACCTTCTTGAGGTGGCGGCGCTCCAACGGTCGTCCTTCTGCTCTCAGCTCCCTCGCCGTTGATCTGCATGTCAGCCTGCTAGGAGGGAGTGAAGCGCGTTAGTCCAAGATTCGTGCCCTAGCTTTCCGCCATCCCTCACGCACAGGCTTTTCGTCAACATAGAGGTACGGCTCTTCTGACAATTTCTCCCATGCATTGATGCTGTCCTGGATCCAAGCAGCCCACACAATCTTAACGCCCTTGAGTCTTTGAGCCTCTCTGACTTTGGCTGTGCCGGGCTGGATCAAAGGCGACGCTCGCACATCAGATCATTTTCCGGACTATCAAGACCTCGGCGTCTCACCTTGGCTATGACGAGGTGCGTCATGTCCGAGGTGACGTTGGCGCTGCATTGAGCGCCAAATTCTCCTGCTTGCCTCCACAGATGAGATCTGCAACGGGCAGCTCAGGATCAATTTTCTGTTTTTCGATTTCCTTGTGCGTCAGGACTCTGACTCACAACTCTGGCGAGTAGCCTTGAGGAACAATACCAGAAAAGACAACAGAGATGCCTGCGAGTACTCGTCGCTTGATCGTCGAGATCAAATGCTGCGTCGGAAAGGGGCTTGCTAAGTCTCAGGCATGAGCGTGCGTTCTGCCAATCTTTCACTCACAGAGACGTGCGGTTTGATGGCATTCTCGTTGGCATTAGCGTTATAATGATCCCATCGCTGAAACCAACTATCGTGGATCTCATTCAAAATCTAGCAAGAGCGCGGAGCAAGTCAGCATTTAGCAATTGCCTCGCGCATTGATTGATGAGCGCTCACAGTTTGGATTCTGACCAGCTCGTTGTCGTCATCTCGTAGCACAGCGTGCTGGTGAGGAGGAGGTGACGATGTCGGGGGTGCAGTGTCTGCACGCTTGTGGTTGGCACCCTCTTCGGAGGTTGTGTTAGGGGTTGTCTCAGTACTGGCTGCTTGAATGGTAGGAGCCTCGACTGCGGTTGGTTGCGTAGTCGACGAAGTCCCGCTGGATCCTTCAACAGACGCAGCGCCGCTCTCATGTGAGCTGTCCTGCAGTGCTGTGGGCGATGCGGTTTCTTCAGCAGCTGCAACCTTCTCGTCGAGCGCCTCTTGCATCCGAGCCAAAGGTCTCGCATCCAATACCTCAGCAACTGCCACTTTTTGTGACTCTGTGGCTTTCGTCCGCGCTTCGTCATTGTCTGCTTGTTCCTGTTCGGCTATGGAGCGCCTTCGCTGTGATGCTATCCCGTCGGTAGATGTCTGCAAGCTCGCGCTGCTCCCGTCTTTGCCATTGGACGTGTCTGCACTTGAGGCTGGTGACGACTTGGCTTGGGTGGATGATTCTGGAGATGGAGGTCCGTCTGTGGACGAGGCGGGCGCCTTGGGTAGAAAGGTAGCATTGATGTCGCCGATGCCGACAAAGAAGTCGTCTAGAGTGGAGTGCGCAGTATTCTCAGGGACATCTGTCATTCGCACTTCGCACCATGCCTACTCACAAGGTCTGACATTTACCAGATTGGGACTCCAGCTCCACACGTCAGCCCTGTCGTCAATAATGACGACCATGCTCGTGTCCATCGGAAACAATCTCTTCAAGCTCTTCTGTACCAAGCTGCCGTTTTCATCCCTCGACAAGATCCTCGAGCCGAACAAGCTTCCGTCGGGATCAATGATTCTGCAGACGCAGTCCGCATACGACCGCGTGCCCATGGTGTACACGTGAAGTTCGTACTTTTCGCTCAAGCTCTTGAGGATTTGTTTGGTGCCTGGGCGCAGCTTGATAAAGTACCAACATCCATCTTGCGCTGCAGCTGCTGCTGCAATGTCGGAAGCGGAGGCGATCTTGGAGCTAGATGCGGGAGCTTTGTTTGCCTCTTCTGAGCTGCTGGATTCCCCTGGCACCTCGGCGCCCACCACAGCTTTGCCGTCGGTACCTAGCAGGAAGCGGCCCACGCCTTTGAGAGCCTCGCAGTTGGGATTCGTAGGGTCAGACTGCCACTCTGCCACGGTCGGATCCACAGTCGCATGAATGACGGTTTGATCCAGATCCACAATGAGCGCGAGCTTGCGTTGCTGGAGCAACCTCTGTGTGTACTCGCTGTCCAACCTACTTGCTTCCTCATGCGTGACTCTGAGACCAGTGGTGTTGTGCATCACTGCAAATGACGTCGCTGACTGCTGCTCACTGAGGAGTTCATGGTATGCATGCAAGGTCAGAGTGAGACAACCGAGCTTGTCCGCTCAACGCTTGCCCAACATGTCGATTCTGCCGATCACCCAGTCAATGACACCTGGCCGACCGACATCGCCATCACTCACTTGTCAAGATGAGCTCCGCACAGCGCGCAGAGCCCGCCAAAGCTGGCTGGGTGAGAGCACTCCATGTCCGTTTGGCGGGGTTTTTCGGAGATGTCGTGGCTGCAGCTGATGTAGAAGGGGCGGGCTGCGAGGTGATTGAATGCTTGGTTCGTGAGCAGCTGTTCACCCGGCGCTAGTTTGATCTATCCCGATCTGTCGTGGCAGAGCCAATGCATGGTTCGGGCCCGCTCTGCCACACTTGCTCCAGTCGATGAACGCGGTAGCGCCAGGGTTGGAGATGGTCAGAGAGCGCAACAGACGACTTGCGAGTCCTGCGCGCAGCTCTTCGGCTGCAGTCGTGGCGCCCTTCGAGGAGCGAATGCAATTAAGTGATTGCTTTGCGTTCTTGAAGAAATGAAACGAGTCACAATTGGGCCACGCAAGCGATGGAGAGCTGGCAAAAGTCGTAGTGTCTGACGAGGATGCGTGCCTGCTTTAGCTCGACGTTCACAATCGTGAATTGCTAGAGAGCAATCACAAATGTCAAGAATCACGCAGCAGTCACAGTCGTGAGTGGTGTTACAGTATAAAGTCCTATAGCCTTGAGACGGTCCGCGGTTGGAGCGAGATTTGTCGCAGCGCTGATGCACCACTCGATCGGCGCTATAGAAATAGGCAGGCGTATACCGTACGCGCGCGCGCGTGAGTCGCGAAGTGTGAGTCTTGCCGCGTGAGAAGTGCGTCTTGAATCCCAGACCGAGCGCGACCCATTTTCAGTCATTGAATCAAAAATCACATTTTCAATTACAGTCAGGCATCTTCAATATTGAATATTGACGACAAGTTACAACTCCGGATAAAAATTCAAGGTGCGATGATGAATTCGAATTCTGCTTCTGGGGGGGATCAAAATCGAGCTTATGCTCGGGTACCTTCCGCGGACTTAAGAATCAAGAATGTCAACACCCGCGAATCCTTGCAATCTCGAATGCGCTCGCCCAAAAGAATCAGCGGCTCATCACGCAGTCAACTCCTCAAACACCATCTACGCGCCACTTGATCCATGACTGACGGCTGAATCTCTCCACATTTTGGTCACTCCCTGAGGAGGCAGCCTCTTGGTCAAATTGTACAAGTTGAGAAGTCGGCGCTCGCACATTCAATCGAGATCAACAACTAAGCAACCTGATACACCGCCTGCGAGTCCTTTGACTGCGCCGTGTCGTGATACTACCACCATCCAGCTCGCTTCTAGTCGGCCATCGCGGCGCAAAACTGCAGCACGTCTGACCAAGGTCCTCTAGAGCGCTCTGGATCTCGAGACAGACTATTCACAGGCTCTTCTCGACTTCCCTTCATCGCCCACGCCAGCTGGGAAGTATCGAAGATGACCGCAGTGACTCTGGATCCCGCCGTTGCTCAAGCGGTGCATTTGCTCTACCCTCACAACGCTTTTGAGTTCGAACAGTACCTGTCATCTGGTCCATCCGGACTCAAGCTTGCTACCGATGATCAGCTCTGTCGAGCGCACGTCGCACACTTGACAGCTGGCGCGCCACCATGTCCTCTAGGCCCAAGCTGCCCCCTCCGCCACACAGCTCCAGGTTCGCAAAATTTCAGACCACCAGCTCGAGACCCCCATAAAAGGACAGTATGCAAGCATTGGCTTAGAGGCTTATGCAAAAAGGGAGATCAGTGCGACTATCTGCACGAGTACGACATGAGGAGGATGCCCGAATGCAGATTCTTTGCTACCTTTGGATTTTGCAACAGTGCGGATGAGTGTTTGTATTTGCATGTGGACCCCAAGAGCAAGATCAGAAGCTGCGAGTGGTACGAGCGTGGGTTTTGTCCCAAGGGTAGGTACCAAGTCACGAGGTAGTCGGTGCGATGTCGTTTCCTGTCTTTGTGCTGACCTTCAGCCACGCTTCCTTCACCCCACGGACAGGTCCTGACTGTCTAAAGAAGCACATCAGACGGCCAGCATGTCCCCTGTATCTGACCGGCTTCTGTCCCAAGGGCAAAGAATGCAAGCAGGGTCATCCCAAGACGACGCTGCCATCCGCTGAGTCCAGGCGCTCATCGCCGGTGACTACTCACCGGCCCATGACGCTTGAAGAAGCGTTTGGCGACAGAGGAAGAGGCAGGGATGGGGACGATGATGACATGGCACAACGCAGGAGTAGGCCTTCCGATAGAAGCGGAGGAGGAAGGACTGGTCTGATACCGCGAGAAGGGCAGGGAGCTAGAAGGTATGCCAACAACGCACCCCAACAGGGCCAGCAGCCCGGCCCACCACCAGGCGGATTCAAGAGGGAGCTAAGTGAGGTCTTGTGCTTTAAGGTGAGTCGACTGGGTGATCAAAACGACCTGGCATCGTGTACTCAGCTCCTTCCTTCCCTCTTTGCCCCTTTCATTTCAGTGCAACGAGTATGGGCAGTGAGTAATGAAGACTTGAGCATGTATGCTGGGCTCGCCGCTAATTTATTTGCGTTTCCGCCACACCATAGCTTCGCCAACATGTGTCCTAATGCAGCGGTGCCAGGTCAACGAGGAGGCATCGAGAGGGCATCTGGTGGCAGGAACAAGGAGTACGGCAGCGGACGGGGTGCGCCGTACTAGGCTACTGAATGTTTTGAGCCGTCCAAGCTCGACCAGCTATCCCTACCGCATCTTTACATCCCGTCAATCATTTATCTGCACCAGTCACGTTTGGGACAAGACAAGAGCCGAAAAGGCTGTCTTGGGCTGATATCGGCGTGCTTACCAGCATCAGAGCTTGGACAACATTCCGCCCACCTGTGTCTCTTCGAGACCACCTCAGGCGAGGTGATCGCTCGGAAGAAGTCCAGGACCAACGATCGCCATGGACTGCTTTAAGGATCGAGAGGACAACGTCAAGTACCTTCGTCATTGCGCATTAGTCATGAATTGGACGCAAGTAGGCTGCAGCGGGATTGCGCCGCTAAACTATTGTTTCATACGCTCTTTGCTGGGCAGTTCGGGCTGTGCGGATACAATGCAATGGTCTGAGCGCAATTCAAAAGAGTCAGCATGAGGTCCCAAGTCCTCGCCGACGAAGGTCGTGGCCAGAGACCTGAGATTGAGTAAGCCATATCGTAGCCTCGTGTAGCTGCACCACTCTAGGGAAGCTTGATCCGAACTCTAGAGGCACCCAAATAGCTTCGCTAGTCAGGTTCAAATTACCACCAAATCTCATAGCGAGGCCTGCGCACAGTGCCGCCATGCCCGAATAAGCAGAAATCGGGACTTCCATCCTTGAGATCAGGCGGTAGTTCCGCGGAAAAGGAGTTATAAATTTGGCTTGGTGCCCTTTTCCAGGGGCGATGTGTCAGACACCTTCACTCACCACGGTCAGTCTAATGCTGACTGTTATTGATCAAGTCATCATACAGGCGTTGCGTCGTACAATTGAGCTGTTGGGCGCCGCATCATCAGCAGCGTTGCGTGCGCCTTGCAGCTACACTGCCAACTTATAAAATGGAGTGACGGAAACATTCTCTTTTTATTCCAGACTTCACCATCAGAAGATCAAAATCGAATTTTTCACCATGAGGCCTCACCGGTAGCTTGCAGGATGGGATTTGCAAGGTTTTTCTGCCTTTTCGCCGTTGTAGTGGTGACGATTCTTCAGGACGTTGCTCTACCAACGAGCCCTCGTGGTGACAACCTGCCTCGACTTCTCGGTAGCTCAGTGCACTCAGCATGTCTGACACCTCGATGCGGATCGCCGCGAGGCGCTCGGTATGAGGGCACAAGCCATTGGTCTCTGTCCAATGGCGCTTGCGGTCTCACGATCCATCAACCAGAAGAACAACTTGCTTCACGTCCACTCTGACCTGAAACGTGCCAGTAATTCTGCGAATCGATCCCTGGACTCTGCCGCCACTGCCCTATCATGCTGCCTCTGCCAGAGTCCGGAGAACGTCAGCTTTGGGTTTGCAGCGGTTCAAGATCTTGCGCAAGGCCAAGGGTACAATGTGTGATGCGAATGCACCAGCCCATCGCAACTGAACGCCATGTTGCAGCTGAGATGTCTGCCGTGCAGGCGCGAAGCAGAGGTGGTGTGCAACGCGAGCTACCACCCACCCTTTCTGAGAGTACGGCCGCCATATACGACCAGAATGGGCGCACAAAACGATGTCTACCTTCGCCATACACGGCCGGCACCGCTCAGTCTAGCTATGTAGTCTGTATGTCGCTACAATACCGCAGAGGCTAGATTCGGCTGACGAAATGAGATGCAATCACGCTCGAGAAGCACCTTAGAGGGCAAAGCGGCTCGCGGTAGGAGCAAGGTGAATGCACCAAACGAGACTCGCCACACGAACCAGTGGAGGCACCTGATACAAAAGCAGTCGCGCGTTCCCTCCCTTGTCATGGCTTGCGTCTTTTGGCTACCATCTACGTCAAGCATCACAGGCGCGCAACATAGATCTTCGACACCTGTATCAAAGATCTTCCTAACATGAAGTCATTTAGGCTCACGCTCGCTTTGTCGATCGCGGTTCAGCTGTCGGTCATCACCGTTTCCGGAGGAGCGATTGACGTAAAGAGTGAGCAGACGTGGTGGAGCACGACTTGGTTGGAGAGTTCAATCAAGCTGACGCTCCACACATCGTCCAGCAGGACTGCTCGCAGACAACGAACAGTCCCTATTGACTCGTGCCAAAGGATGGCACATCGAAAGTCGTTGTGCACCACACGAAGAGGGCTGCGCGCCTCCCGCGAGCTTGGAAAAGCGGACTCTGGGCGACAAAAGATCTGAAGATCCGGTCTGCGCCACGCCAGGCTGCAAATCCGACTCTCCCAATGATCCAAGCACTCAGACATGAAGACCGCAACGCAGTACTAATTATGTGCGTCCGACGCGATGGTCGTCGATCCTTGTAGCTACTCACCAGGCAGCACCTTCAAGCTGACAGATATCTCTGGGCACAAGTCTAGGCAGACAAAGCGACGCAATCTTGCAGGCGTAGAGTGATAAGATGTGGAGGAGAACAGGATGCTAAACGGGTCAGGATGTGGCAATGAATGTGGAGAAACTTCAGAGTGACCAGATCGTGATGTCGTGTGACTCTGGCCCTCCCTGCCCGAATGCGGGGCGAGCCCTGCGAGCGTCCTGATAATGGGCAAAGCGACGCCTTTGCTACTGTCCTGATCTCTCAAAAGCGCCCGCTTCTGATGACCCCCATTCGCAACACGGTGTTGGCAAAAAGTGAGGATGATACAGTCGTGTTGCTCGCCCGCCGGTACTCTGGCTGTGTTAGAATATCCAGCTTGGCGGTATGGAAACAGCACCGTGTTTCATGGGGCAAAACTGGAGTCTTTGCCAGATTCTGATGTGTTCGTTCAGAACCCATCCCACCGAAGCCGGCAGCTACTGCTTTGGCGTGTCCAGGCAAGCGATATTGTTCCCTTGGAGTACGAAGATGCGAACAACAGAGTGCGTCTTACAGACAGGCTTTTGTGATGTTCAACTTCATTTGCGCTTTCAGATCTGACGTGATGGCTCTTCTCACGCCGCGAAGGGCACTCACTCTATTCAGTGACCTGGAAGAGTCTTGACTTGAAGTTCTCCAACGATGAGACATGAATGATTAAAGTGAATGGCGTGCTCGAGAGCGAGCAGACCAAGGGAGTGATTGAACGCAATCAGATGATCCGCCTCTAACAAGTTGCGGTGCTGTAGATTGAATTTGCGGCGCAAGGGCGATGCTGTGGGTCGGGCTGGCTCCGTCGCACGCAAAGACCGTTCAAAGAGCACCTTGTCAGTGATTCTCGATGCGGTTGCCGAGTGAGAGCGGATCGTGCAGCTATCTGAAGCCAACGAAGATACCTTTTCATCTTGCAATTGTTCGAACCATGGTCCCGAGTGAACCTTTCGGAGCACACCTCTGGTCGATCGGTTCCGGTGGGTGCAAGCCGAAAACATGCACAGAGGACCTCATCGTTCATATTTGCTTCGTTGAGCGAACGAGCGCATTTTGCGCACCAACTTGGTGTCAATCGATATGCCTTCGCGTCTTGTGATTGTCGTGTTTATGATCCTAAATGCGTCATTAAGTGTGCGCCATGCGTGAGAAATGTGGTTTCTGACGCTTATCGTACGCAAGCTCGTCCAGTTGCCAACGTAGAGGGAGGTGCTGCTTGGCATCCAAGGCAGACAGAATCCATCTGGCTCTGTCGAATAGGCCAGTCGTGAGCTATAAGAAGGGGTCTTTCGCTCTTCTGTAGCCTCTGAATTGTTAACCCCGAGACCGCTCACCTTGCAGCACTGCTTAATAAGACAACATCGCGCTACCAACATGCGAAGCTCTAGGCTTGTAATTGCTATATCGCTGGCTCTTACCATCTTTTGGGCAGATGTCAACGGACGTCCAGCCGACTCGCTTGGTGAGTTTGCGACTCTGGACGCAATTGGATTTCATGAAGAATCATTGCTGACTTTTCCAGCGATCCAGGTGGAAGAGCTTCCGTCTCAGATCTCCAGAAGGATCCGTTTAGCCTTTTGCCCAGCCGTCGATCCATGCCGGTCGTTGCGAACGACGTTCTAGGTCGCAACAAAGGAAGAGACCCTCCTCAGAAGGATCATCCTAGCGATCCGCCTCTACGCCGATTTCTGCGAGTCATTCCGAGCGACCTCTCAGGCCGCACGGAGAAAAGAGAGGAGAATCCCAGAGATGATGGTCACGATCTGGGTAGACGCCGACCTCTGCAAGTGACGTCCATTTCTGCCAATTCAGACGGGAATGGGCTAGAGAAAAGGCGAGAGAAGAAGACCGAAGCCATCCCACCCAGATGGGTCCCACCGGTGATCAACAATCCCTACACTGGGCTAGAGAAAAGGCTCGAGTCGGGTGGCGAATGTGTACCGCCCGCTTGCGTGCCACCCGTGGTCGACAATTCTTACACCAGGCTAGAGAAGCGAAATCACGAAAGTATCTGTCTGGACCCCGAGGGCTGTGAAGACCCACCCGAGCCCCAGAATCGTGCTAACGATCCTGGGACCGGGCTAGAGAAGAGGACATATCGAACCATATGTCTGAGTCCAGAGGGATGTGAAGAAGACCCACCCGAGCTCAAGAATCGTGCCATTGGGGGCTACATTGGGCTAGAGAAGCGGCTCGAGCCTATATGTCAAGACCCCGAGAAGTGTTACCCCCCAGTGGTAGAAACTCGTGCCAACAAGGACCACATTGGGCTAGAGAAGCGGCTCGAGCCTATATGCCAAGACCCCGAGAAGTGCTACCCCCCAGCGGTGGAAACTCGTGCCAATAAAGGCCGCACCGTGCTAGAGAAGCGGCTTCAGGGTTTTTGTCAGGACCCCGACCTGTGCAACCCGCCTGGGCCTGGCAATGATGCCAACGAGGCTTAGGCTTGGACTGCGTAGCATGAGTCAAAAGAGCACAATCACAAAAAGAGGAGGCGGACCATTGCTCGCTATATTTCGAAATAGTTCATCGTTTTCAAGCTGTGAGAGAGGCGCTGAATCCGAGCAGAAGACAGCTGATCCTGTCAAAAGTCTCCCCTAAGTGCATCTTCTTAGGCTCGATATGAAGTCTTGCCCTCTTCACTCTCTTGCATCACCCGTGCGTGGATGTGGATGTCGCTCGTTGTGAAGGAACCATTCAACATGGACAATACGCTAGCATCACCTTATGCGACCTTGCAATGCTGCGTCGGCTTCCCCTTGCGCATCTTGACTCCGTGCAATTCCGCCCCTCTGACTTGAATTCTCCACTCCATCCGCGTCATTCATCCGCTAGCCCAACTCCAATCTACATATCCGCTCTCCCTCACCATGTCTTTGACCTTCTTCTCCGCCGCCTCCAAGACATCATACTGCTCCAGCAGTTTCCTCCTCTCTATGCTCTTTGGTCCATCAGCTACGTCTTGCAAAGCTTGAGACTGTCGCTCTCCGTTCGATGCTCCGTTCTTAGCGTTTGTCTCGCAGGAATTCTGAGCAGACGTGCGAGCCATCAGAACGCGCATGGTCTGGATGGCCGCATGTACATGATCGCACGTCGCCATGCCCACAAGCGTTGGGAAGCCCGTGCCATGATGTCTTTCCAGCCCGCTGCTTTCTTTCGCACGCACTTGCGGCGCACTGTCTCCTGCGGCCCAGTCAGCCGCGCTCCTCAAACCAGAGAAGAGTGCCGTTTGAGCCAAGTCCGGTGCTTTGACATCATGAACGCCTCGTGCGATCTCTTCTTCGCGTGACGCTGCGTCATGAGGTGCGCTGGAGGCCGAAAGCAGACTCTGGGCTGCTCGCAGACATGCATCTTTCAGCTCTTGCGGGGCTGGATGCCAATCGGGCACCGCACCTTCTGTGAGCAGTCCCATCGAAAATGGACTTCCATTGAGCAACAAGGGCGGGTTCCACTTTCCGTTGCGCTCCGCATGTGAAGTGCGCGCTGCGTCATCGACAGTGGATGCGTCGCCTCGAGCCAAGCTCAGCACTTGCTGATTGAGGTCGTCTGCCCTGTTTTCCAAGTCGACGAGAATATTCTCCCTGGCTTTACGTTCCGATGATGTCTCGCGCACGACGGCTGGCGCTTGATGCCCTCCATCTCCAAGCGCATGTTCACCTTCGTGCTCCAGCGCTTCGTAGTCCGGTTCGGCGAGTTGTGCCAACTTGAGCCTCGAGAGCTCGGATATGAGCACTCTCAGCGTTGTCTGGAGCTGCTTTATCTGAACAGACCTCTCTTGTGACGATGGCGCTTTCGACGCCATCCTTTGATCTTCCGCGGATAGGTTGGACAAGCATTGGAGCAAAGTGGCTGTTCGGCCCCTAAGTCTGCCCACCCTTCGACCAGCAGGCGCTCCCACCTGCTCGAAAGCCTCATCAAAGCCGGATTGAATGGCGCTCTCTTTTCCCGCCGTGATACCTTCTCTGTATCCTGCCTGCTCACCCAGGCACCAGATCGGTGAAAATGGAGGCAGATGGGGAGTGGGAGAGGAAGTAGAGAATTCAGCAAGTTGCTCGCTTCGAATCGCTATTTGACTGTGGTCCTTCGCGCTGAACCCACATCATAAAATTTGGCCTCGATACGATCTCGATCTCTCTGGCCCATGGACAATGCCTGATCCGCCTCAGCCTGACGTCGTCTGGACGAGGGCCCTGCCCCGTTGCTGCGCACGTGTCCATTTCCGGTCCCATTTGAGATTGGGCGCACGACTGCACCGTTCGATTGCGCAGCTTCGCTTCTGCCATTCAAGATCGCCTGGCCATTCGATGGCAATGCGGAGGGTGCAGAAATGTGTTCGTCGTCCGAATGAAGCCAATCCGAGTCTGAATTTGCAGACTCGTCTGCTTCTTCGGGTCTTACTGAGGGCAAGGGCGAGCCTCGAGAAGGGTTGCTCGAGCCGGCAGGGGATTCTGAGGGCCGTTGTTCTGCGTGTAGATGGTCGTGATGTGCGCCCAAAGCAGACGTCTCCTCTCGTTCTCTCCCTGCCTTCATGGACGCCTCGTGTCCTAAAGATTCTTCTTGCTCTTCACACTGCCTCTGGTCCATCTCGAAGAGGCCCCTCCAAGCTCTCAATAGGTCCGAATGCAGACAATCCTGACTGTAACTAAGCACGCAGTCCAACGGTCGGCCCAACTCGATGTATGCCAGTCTGCAAATCCTGAGCAGCACGGGAAGAGGGTAGCCGCTTATGCCCACATTCAGTATCAACCCTTCGTCTTTCAGGTTGAAAAGCTCTTGGAGTGCGCCCAGGACTGCCGCATCGCCTGGGCCGCAGCTTGTGCCCCAACTTGCAGCAGAGAGACCCAAAGATTTCTGCAGGGCAAGACCCGAGGCTTGATGGTGGACGTGAAAGCGTGGCACGAGATGTTAGGGGCGCATTTAAGGGCGCGTCCGCGCAAATGAAGTTTCAGCGAAAAGGTGCAATGCAGAGCAATCACCGCGGTGAACGGATGGCGACGCTCGGTCGGGGTCTATATATAGCCAGCTTAGTGAAGCATTGGCTGCACGCTCGGGACGAGTCTCGCCCGCTGTGCTGGCGGACGAGTCACGAAGAGCTTGGGGCCGCGCGCCACTCAAAGCTTGCGTATACGCAATGAATGTCATCAATGTACCTGATTGCCTGTGCAGCCTCTGTACCGCTCTCTCATCTCCTCTCGCCGATTACGGCTCTTTCTGCATCCATCCTTTTCCCTCTGACGAGCTCCCACCACCGCGCACATTCGAGTCGACTCGACTCACCCTCATGTCTCGCCGCATCCCTGGCGTCGAAGCCCTGCTCATGGCTTGCACCGACCTTTTCCGCCACAAATTCCACATCATGCAACAACACCTGGTCCAAATAACTCGTGTTCAGCCTTTTCAAACTCTTTCCAACGCTTTCCCTGACGCCTTTTGGGGAATAATCGAAATGTTCCAAAGAGGGACCGTAGCGACCACACTTTGTCAGGAGGCGATAGGAAGAACGAGGATGGAGGGGCGAGAGGAGACGTAGGATACGTCCAAGAAGTATCTCGGAGGGATAGTAGTAGGCGGATGTATCGATTGCGTTGATGCCGTATGAGAGGGCCAGGTGCACGACTGCGCAGGCGAGTGGGAAGGGGGAGAGAAGCGACAAATGAGCGATTGGGCAGCAAAAGGTGGCATACATGCGCGAATGCGTGCGTCCACTCGACGTTGCACTCGACTCGCAACCTAGCTGGATCGCCCTTGCGCCATCTCGACCCTCACATTCCATCGCCTCGAATCACATCTCCGAAAAGGCCATCGGTTTGGCCCAACAATCGTCATACGCACCTCTGAAGCTGTCTAAGCCCTTCACCTTCTCCTCCGACGTGTCCCGATACTGTCCATCGCCCAATCTCAGGATACCTCCCCCAAAGACGATGGGTGAGATATCCTCTCGGAGGCTGCGATTCGGCCTTCCTCGTGCTGGTTCGGCAGCATCATTCACGTCGTGGTTCGACAAGTTGATGCCGTACGCCTCGGTGCGTGTCGAGGTATTCACGTCGGCTGTTCTGACCCACGGAGCGAGCCCGCCACGCACTCGAGCTGCTTCGCCAGCAGCCGAGGATACATCCAGCACTTGCTCGAGCGTGGGCAGAGCTCCCCAGTATGACTCAGGGGGATCTTGTGCGGGTGCAATTGGCATCTTCGGTCGAGTCTTGAGTCGATCGCCTCCAACTTCCTCTTCCTGACGCGCTGCCACGCATTTACCTTTTTCGACTCTGTTGCTTCTCAATCGGTCAGGGGCACCCAGCCTGGGAGTGGCAGGTGTCAGCGTCCGGGATCAGACAGAGGGACACGGGAGAGAAAGGGTCATGCACAGCCGCGAGGGCTGCTATGACCTGCTGCGACCACGCAGACTGAATCTAGCGTTTCAGATGGAGGTCACGTCAAAGTGGAGGAAGCGCATCTTCTGCCCTCTCTCTCTCTCTCTCTTTCTCTCCGAAAATCTCCGCATTCAAATTCTTGATTCTTCCAGCAGGCTTGCAATTATGCACCGACCAGCATTACTTAATTCGTGATTCGTAATTGACATCCTATTCCTCCTCACTCCTCCCCTCCTCCTCCTCCCCCGCCGTGCTTTGCAGCAAATGCACGCACGCCGCTCGTGCGCGCCTTGTGCAGGCAGACCCTGCGCGTCTTGCTCGATCAGAGACAGATCCAGAAAGGCCATCGAGCCACGACTTGTCGTGGATCCGGGTGTCAAGCAGCGAGATCGGAGCACGACAATCGTGAATGGGCAGACAAGCGAGCTCATCAGCTCCAGACTAAACGTGGGCCTGTTCATCACCGTGGGTAGGCACGATCGGGTGAGTTGCGTGCCTGTGGGGTCAAGACCTCGATCGGGAGACCAGTCTCGGAGTCGAATCAATCGGTCGAACCCAGACATGACTCGGAAAGCATCAAATCATCGAATCTGTTTGAATGAATCAAGTGAATGTTCAGCGGTTGTTGGTTGCAACGTGGTGGAGATTACTGGCACGTGACTCGTGACTAGTAGAGCCTATGGACTCTTGACTCAAACTGCAGGAGTCGAGTCACTCAAGACTTGTTGGCGATGATCTTGCCTTTACGGATCACGGCGACGATAGTGTGCAAATGTGTCGTGCATAGATGCGGACATGGAGCTCCAATAAACGCTTGCAGCTATAGGTTATAGCATAATTGGCGCCAGCAAGCAGCATGCGTGGCTCGGTCCTGATGTCGGTCTTGTCGGCATGGGCCGGACCCCGATCAGGGCCGAGCTGGGGAGGTCATGTGTCGTGGGCGCCGAATCACCGCGCGAATGCTAGCTGCGTCGGATGTTCAGATGACCTGATCACGCTGGAGCACCTCTTGACTTGACCTCTCCGTGAGGTGGACACGTGCAGACACGGATGCTTGCTCAGACCTTTGCAGCTTGACGGTCCATGATGCAGAGCCTGCGAAACATCGTCCCTCGCAAGTGATGTTCTTTGAACCTTCACCTCGCGTCGAGATCACGCGCACATCAGCATGCACCCGGCATTCATTTGCCACGCTACGATGTGTGCGGAGAAGCGAGCACGTACGCGCTTGCGCTTTACTGTATATACGGGCACGGACAGTCAGAGTCGTGAGTGCAGCGCGGCGGCGATGCACGGCGGCGTCGCACCTCCGCGGCATTGAGCGACGTGCGCGGCGAAGCTAGAGGCGGCGGATGCGCATGCACGTATACAAGACAGAGGTCTCGTATCTCGGCTCATCGCGCATGCAGCAGAGCTGTCATGCACCGATGAGCGCTGCTGTGTGCCGGCCATGATGCAGAGCCAAAGGTCCGCCGCGTGCGCACGCGCCATGCACCAATCATCTCGGATCGTGGCCGGGTTGCAATCTTGAATATCAAGAATCCGGTAATGCGAAACGCTCTTCAAGGCGTGACTCTGCACGATGAAGCGCAATCAAGGAGAGAAGCTAGAAGCCGTCGTCGATCCTGTATCCACAGCTTCTCGACTGTTCATCGCGTGCTGTGCACACCAGACGTACGTGATAATCGAAGCAGCCACCATCATTCGATCGTCACAGCCACCTGCCACCTCATCCTCAAGCCAACCTCGGAACTCCTCCGGCCGCTATTGTCTTCGTGACCTCAGCAGTCTGTCTGGCTTTGCGTGTCCATACTCTCTCAAAAGCGGCTCGCTTGATTCGCAGACGACCCACACTTGCCCCAGCAGCTCCAAGACTCAGTGACTATCGGCGCATCCTGCTCATCCTGACATCATCACAATCCCAACCCCAACGTCAAGATGTCTACGGCCCCTCAAACCAGCGCGGTCCCGTCCATCCCGGGTGCACCTCACCGTACAGCGTACACTGTCCTCTCGCAGACATTCTTGATCGATTCGGCCTACGAGATTTCCAAAGAATTAGGCCAAGGAGCGTATGGATGTGTGGCTCATGCGACTCATAAGGCTACGGGTGAAGGAGTGGCCATCAAAAAGATTACAAATGTCTTTAGCAAGAGGATCTTGACGAAGAGAGCTCTGCGTGAGATCAAGTCAGTGGGAAAGTCGACCCTATGCGCAATGGTGGGAGCAGAATGGCTTTCACTTGCGCTCGCGTGCTCATGCTCTTGCCCCTTGCTGTGCTTTGCACGCCCAGACTTCTGAGACATTTCAGGGGACATAAGAACATCACTTGTCTGTACGATATGGACATCATCAACCCCAACGATTTCAACGAAGTCTATCTGTACGAAGAGCCCATGGAGGCTGATCTTCACGCCATCGTGAGTCTCGCACAGCAGGCTAGCAGCAACTTGGATGCATGCTATGGATCTGCTCGAGCATGCCCATCTGACACTTGCTTTTCCTCGCCCACAGATTCGATCTGGACAACCGCTTTCGGACGCACACTTCCAATCTTTCATCTATCAGACGCTGTGCGGTCTGAGATATATTCACTCGGCCAGCGTGCTCCATCGAGATCTCAAGCCGGGTAAGTCGTCGGGCGCTAGCAGCGTCGTCCCTGGCGCTTGCTGCCAGCTGCGCGACTCGCCCTGATCCTTCTCGACTTCTTTGTTTCCCTCTCAGGAAATCTGCTGGTGAATGCTGACTGCGAATTGAAGATTTGCGATTTCGGACTGGCTAGAGGTTTCGAGACGGATGCTGAGTTGGCTGCCAAGGGTGGACAGCCCGCCGGAGGCTTCATGACCGAATATGTCGCTACGCGTTGGTACAGAGCTCCCGAGATTATGCTCAGGTGAGTAGAAGAGGCGATGACGAGAGGATCGCAGCTGTAGGTGGATCACACTTGTCATGCGTGGCTGGCCAAAGCATACCGGTGGAAGCATTCTTGACGAGAGCAGCGGTGCGCATGGGGACGCCACGCTGGCCAACGCTTCGACGCCCAAGGCATGAGACGAACCATCAGTATTGGCCTTCAGCGATGGAGAGAAGCAAGAGCTCCACCTTCTCTCGAGGAGTGTGGCAGTGCTCTTCAAGCCCCGCGCAGCTTTAAACTCTTTCGTTGCGCTTTTCGACTCAATTCCGCTCGTCCTTCTTGCCAATTCGCACGTCGCAGCTTCCAAAACTACACTACAGCGAGTGAGTCCGGCTGGCCTATGCGGTCTACTTCGCAACTTTGAGCCTGCGACGCGCCCAATGAGCTTGTGGAGCGATGGACTAACCCGCACCCTTCCATCTGGCCCCGCTCGCGCACGCGCCAAGTCGACATTTGGTCTGTGGGTTGTATCCTTGCTGAGCTGCTGGGTGGAAAACCAATCTTCAAAGGCAGAGACTATGTCGATCAGCTCAATCAGATCCTGCACTACCTCGGAACACCTTCAGAAGAGACCTTGAGAAGGGTAGGCTCTCCAAGGGTGAGTAGCTCTTGGCGCAGAGTGGTGCTTGGCCCGAAGATGCACGATGCAGAGTACTGACCGCGTCTGTTTCACCTCGACAGGCGCAAGATTACATTCGCTCCCTTCCTTTCAAAGCTCGCATTCCGTTTTCTTCCCTATACCCAAGCGCCAACCCGCTCGCTCTAGATCTCCTCGAGAAGATGCTAGCATTTGACCCCGCTAGACGCATCAGCTGCTCAGACGCGCTTAGGCATCCTTACTTGGCAGTCTGGCATGACCCGGCAGACGAGCCGACTTGCCCTTCAAAGTTTGACTTTGGATTCGAAAGCGTGGAAGAGGTGGAAGGTATGAAGAGGCTGATTTTGGAGGAGGTGTCGAGTTTCAGGAACGAAGTGCGCGTGAGGGCTAGAGCTCAACAGCCAAGAAGGCAGGAAAGGTGAGCGGCGAGCGTGCATGTAGGGCTCGTCATTCCGCCTCCAGTACACCGTGTGCTCAGACGCATACAATCCCCTCTCTGATCCGCCCACATCATCAGTCTGCCTGTTCCTACCCGCGAAGAATTGCAAAGATCTTCCCCTACAGACCCGACAGCACCCAACTCGCACCTCATTGGCGCTTCGTCTGGCATCATTCAAGGAGGAGCCACACAGGCCGGAGAAGGCAACGCGGGCCAGGTGCTCGATGACGCGCAGATGCTCGAGGATCCAAGCGGTGAGATGACCCCGCAGTAGACAGAATGGAGAGTCTGGTCAAGATACTCTTCGACTCAAACTTTTTCTTTTTTCTTTTTTGGTACCCTTTACAGAGGCGTTCGAACGAGAGTTGACGAGACAACAATGAGGTCCTATTGTCTTTGCAGGGTGGCGAAGACGCATCGCTTTCTTTTCCAGCACTTTGGGGCGCGATCTCAGCGTCCAGATGAGAACTTGTATATTTTGGGGCGCGATCTCAGCGTCCAGATGAGAACTTGGAATGATATACATTTTGCCACGTCTTCGATCTGTTCGATTTCACTTCGGACTTGCATTCTCGATGAATACCTTGATGACTCCCCTGCCATCTGCGCTCTTTCCGTTGCGGAGCGTCTCGAAGGCCTGCTGTGCATCCTCGAGGCTAAAAGTATGACTGATCAGCCGCTCCAGTCCTGCCGCCTGCACGACTGACGCCGCGCGCCCATCCTCCGCACTTGTTCCCACTGAGAGGCCAGAGGAATGCCAGCGAGAGAGGAGGTCGATGGCTCGTGGGTATTGATGCGCGTACCGAAACACGCCGACCAGGTCCACCTCTCGCAGACTTGCCGCACCTATCGGAAGGGTCTGAATTGGATGCTGTGCGGGGCGCGAGGTGTTGTGTGCAGACAAAGGAGTGAGCGAATGCTGCCGGGGTGGGGGAAAAGGGGGGAAACTGAGGTCTGTGCGAGCGAAGCACCATGCAACTCACGCCCATGCCTATCAGACCAACCTTGGCTCCTGGTCTAGCCATGAATATGCTCAGCGCAACGCAAGAAGGAACACCCGTACACTCCAGCACCACGTCGAAGCCCGCCTGAATTTTTGCCTCGTCGTTTTCGAAATGCTGGAGAGCTTCTGCAGCTCGTGCCTTGGCCGCGGACATGCCATCTTGATCTTCTTGTGCTCTTTGCGCTCTTCTTCGTTGCACTTCATCCATGCCTGATGCATCGCTGGCAAATTGGGTCCCGTTAGGCACGCGTGGCAATGTAAAGATGGCATCTGCCCACTCGCTCTTCTTGGCAAATTCCAACCTGTCAGAGTCTATATCGATGGCGGCGACGTATGCCGCTCCTTGGACTTTGGAAGCTGCGCACGCTAGCTGACCTACTGCTCCTGCGCCCATAATCAGGACTGTCTGACCTGGGTGAAATGATACGCGGGATAAGGCTTGCAAGACCACGCTCAGCGGTTCGAGGAGCGCGCCATGTGTGGTGGACAAGGTTGACGGAAGTCTTGAAAAGGAGCGAGAGGCGGCGCCAAGAGGTGTGTGTGTGTGTGTGCGGTGTGTTCAATTCGGGGCGCTAGAGGACCATGTAATCCTTCAAGCTGCACTTACTTGTGCACCAGCCAAGCTGGCCAGTTGATCAGTCTTTGCAAAGTTCCGTGTAGATGAGGAAAGGTTTTTGCGGAGCTTGCGAATCGCAACCTGGGACACAGGTTGTACCTACCTTCAGCGCATCTTTCGCACTCTATCAGTCGACAAGGAACACCCGCTTCTACGGCTACTTTGTCGCCCACTTTGAGTACGCCCAAAGGTGCTGGCGTGCTTGTTGCGCTCGGCTCGGAAGAAGTGGAGGAGGAGGCAGGACCAATGGCGACCACCTCTCCGGCAGACTCGTGACCCAGACACATTGGCTCTCGAAGTGCAAAATCTCCATTTCTCCCATGCAGATAGTAGTGCAGGTCGGAACCTGTTCACGTTGCGCGGCGCACGCTTCGTTCAGCATTGTATGGACGTGTAAGATTGAAACAGGATGGAAAGGGGCGGTGCAACTTACCGCACAAGCCGGTCTGTTCGATTCGGATCTGTACCTCGCCAGCTTGGGGAGGAGTGATATCGTGCGATTCCTGACCTCATCAGACGATTGATTGGCAGAGACTGGGAAGTATTGAGCGGCGATTGTTCCGCAAATTCTAAAGGGAGCTAGCTGCAGCTCACCCATGTACTCACAATGCGCAAATCGCCAGGTCCGTGCAGGACGGCGCAAGTGTTGCTGTACATGCTCATCCCGACCTACCCCAAGAGAGTCCGGGCGTGAAGGAGAGGGGGGAGTATTATTCAGAATTGCCTGCTCGTACTCCCAGCGAGCTTTTGGCTTTCAGCCTCAACACGAGTAGGCAAAGCTTATTCTCCTCGACAATACAGAGGCAAGATTAGTTCCTTTCCTGCGGCACGGTATGCTTTGACGGATTTGCAATCTTGAGATCAGGATCGTCTGGGGCAAAGGACGTCCATTGAACTCGTCCTGTGCGTTTTGATCCTCTTCCACAGCCTGTCTCGGTCAAATGTTGCGCCTCGGGAAAAGGTCTGTGAAAGTTCAGCCGTGAGTACAAGGACTTCGAAAGGCTAGTACTAGCTGGGTGTCGTGTGCTCAAGAACAACACACTCATCAAGACTCAAGACTCTGACCATGCTTGGGGCGGCCGATCACGTGCACTCTTTGGGACAAAACGTGTGCGTCCAAACTTGTTTCTCATTGCCCCGGCATGCCGCGGGAAGATTCCCTGACGCAAGATAGATGCGCACGGACCGGCCGGCATCCATCTGCGCACGCGTTCTCGTCGTGCGGCTATTCACGATTGGTGCATGGATGTTCCAGGTGAGCTGAGCTTTGCAGCAAGCGCAGCGCCATGCCATGCAGCATGCATGCGCAGACACCGTTGCGAGCCCCCAGCATTTGTGTGCGCGCGTTGCTGCTCGTGATGGGTGATGGTGCCGCGCTGTGCCGACCTTCTCGAGTCGCAGCGAAGGAAGGCGCTGAATGCCTATAGCTATAGATGCAAGGCTGACCTGATCGGGCAGCCAGCTGCAGCTGCGCGCGCAAGCCGCGGAATGGCGAGTCGAATGAATCTTGAATGTGGATGGATATCAGCCACGATTTCGGCTACTCTTCTCCGTAGAGCAGCGATAATCTTGAATCACCAGCTTTAGCGATCAGCTCACCTCACATGCGTGACGCAGTGCGCTGCGATTACGACCTAGTACATTTGTGATTGTAATGATTATTCGTGATGCGTACTTGTTGTTATTTTCGCGGCAGCCATAGAGGATCTACGCGCGTATCCTCGAATGATTCAATCTTTGCCGGCGGCGGACGCGTTTGAAAGCTATTCACCACTGCTCCATATCTTGATACGCTTGTGTAATCTTGGTCATCCGCCAAGGCAGTCACAGCCTGTAGCTGCGCCCGGCCGGTAACCCCCGTCCCGCGGGCAGCGGCCCCCGAGTGAGACAAACAGCCTTTCGATGACATGAGCTTCCGTAATCTGAAGCACGCGGGGTGTTGGCGACGTACGGAGTGAGTCAAACACAAATGATGTCTTGCAAGTTCTTGGTGCGTGGACCCTGAATCTGGACAAGCGTAATAAGCAGGTATAACAACTGCTGCAAGTATCCACGCCCCATACAATCAGAGTCAAGACTCTTGAACGTGCATGGGCGCCCTGCTCATTTGCTGACTGAAGCTGATGCTGTGATGCCATGCTTTGAATCAATATCACGAATGATCAATCAAGAATGTGAAGCAAGACTCAGCAGATTGCGGAGTTTCGGGCGCACATCGTGTACTTGCTGCTGCTGCTAATAATGCTGCAGCTTCTGCTCGTGCGAGGCGCGGCGTCAGCCAGCAGAGGAGCAGAGGGACGCTCCTCTAGAAGAGGAAAGTAGACTAGCCTTGCCAATGCTGCATAAGCCGCGATCATGATCTGCGGTCCGACCGCGATTTCTCATTACAACCGGCTGTTGGTCAGATCATATGATTCTGGTACATCGTACCTGGCCCGGCCGATACGCGCAATCCTCACGACTGTGACTCGTGCGTTCGTCCCGCGTCCTCAGCAAGAGCTTCAGCAACGAATTGTGAATGCATATATTGCAACAGCGCAAGTATCCGCAAGACCTCGACCCCCTCCTCGCGCAGGTGCTACCGTGATACCCATTTCCTGAGCCTCTTTCCTCGACGCCCCCACCCTCTCGTCCGAGTTCAACCTCCGTATGCACGCATAGAGACACATCTCTCATCCACCACTCTCGACTCTTTGCCTACCGTGCACCAATCCCGACCACTTGCGGATCCTAGCCGCCTTCACAACATGGCGACCTCTGCCTTGTCCACCCTTACGAGCCCTTTGCAGAGCCTCGCTTGGGCCCCTCTCGTCAAGCTCTCGCGATCAGCCGTATTGGGACTGTTTTCCCGTTTAACGGAGGGCACGCTGAATCTGACGGACGTGGATGGCACGACTTTCAAGTACGGGGATCCCGTGCTGGTCAGATCCAAACATGGTCGAAGTAGCGCCTCCGGGGACCTGCACGATGCTCGAACTTGCGCTCAGAAGAGCAGCAGTAGCAACTCGAGCGCTTCGCCGAGGGCCGAGTTGACCATCAAGAGCGACACTTTTTGGGTCAGGATGCTGGTTGGCGCGGACCTTGGCTTTGCGGAGTCGTACATGGCGGGGGAGGTGGACACGAAGGATCTCGGCGCTATTTTTGCTGTGAGTAGCGCTACAGTCGCAGCGGCCAGTGCATCCTCGATTTGCGACCGTGTCGTACCCGGAGGCAGTGGTGCTGACTCGCACCCCGCCATGTCTCGATTCGGTGGCGCCGCAGCTGTTCATCAGGAACCGTAGCGCGCTTTCAGAGATGCAGGTCGGACTCGTGTCCAACGTCTCGAGCTACATTCAAGGTTTGCTCAACAGACGCTATGCCAACACGCGTGCTGGAAGCCTGTCAAACATTGGCGCGCACTACGACATTTCCAACATCATGTACGAAGCCTTTTTGTCCAAGGACATGACATACTCTTGCGCCGTCTTTCCCACCCTGGATGCCGATGTCAGCGGCCCCCTGTTAGAAAGGAACCTGGAAAGGGCCGCTCTCTCAGGAAGGCCGGTCCAGAATGGACACGGAGGAACCACTCTTACGGGCGCTTTGCCCCGCGCCGTATACTCATCCGACGGACCCGGGGGCATCACTCCACCCGACACAGAAGCCATCTCTAGAGATGCGGTGACGGATGAGCTGGAAGCGGGTCAGCTGGCAAAGCTGCGTCTGCACATATCCAGGGCGAACATTGGTAGCGGGGACAAGGTGCTGGAGATTGGTACTGGTTGGGGTTCCTTTGCCATCGAAGCGGTCCGACAGACTGGCTGCACGGTCGACTCACTGACCCTGTCCATCGAGCAGAAGGCTTTGGCGGAAGCGCGCATCCAGAAAGCGGGGCTGCAAGGCAGTATTCGTGTGCACCTGATGGATTATCGTGACATGCCATCCAGCTGGACCGACACGTTCGATAGGGTCGTCAGCATAGAGATGCTCGAAGCGGTGGGCATCGAGTTCTTGTCCGGTTACTTTGCGGCCATCAACAGAGTGCTGAAGAGATCTGGAGGGACAGCCTGCTTCCAGTGCATCACGATGCCCGAATCTCGCTTCGACGCATACATCCACCAAGTCGACTTTATCAAAAAGTGGATCTTTCCAGGAGGCGTATTGCCCAGCGTCACTTCTTTGGTCGAGGCGGCTACGCAAGGTTCCAAAGGAGGGCTGGTGCTCGACTCTGCCATCTCCATCGGCCCTCACTACTCTAGGACGCTGAGGGAGTGGAAGACGCGCTTCGAAGCCAACTTTGATCAGACCATCGCCCCCGCGCTTCTGAACGACCACGAGGAGATTAGGAGACTGCCCCCCGCGCAACAAAAGAAACAGATCGAGGTGTTTAGGAAGAAGTGGATCTACTACTTTGTCTACTGCGAGATCGGCTTTACCGAAAGAGTCATTGGAGGTGAGTGCAATTCACAGGATGTTCGATGATGCGCCGCTGACGGCCATACCCACGACGTGCGCGTCACCTACAGACCACATTCTGGCTTTCACTCGAGAAGGAAACGTCACTTTGCCCGTCATCTGCGCATGACCTTCGTCCCCTTTCTTCTACCATCTGACGGCCAGGCCATGCATGGCCCTCTAGGGTTCTCACCGTTTCAGAATTGCCCGAAGCCAAAGTCTCAAGATCGCCTCGTTTCGTCTTTGGTCATGTTGTTCCTCGACTCCTCTTTCACTTTGCCGTGCAATTCACAATGCTGAAACTCTACTCTTCGATTTGATGCTTTGAACGATCGTGAGCGACCCCTGGCTTTCTGAACGCAGCTCCTGAGCGGTAGCAAGTCATGACCGTCGCGCGTCGGACTCGCCATCATCCCAAATTAGCTGTTTCTCTATAAATATAGAAACAAGCACGCACGTGACGATCCTGCATGCGCGGTCGCGCGCGCGCGCGAGGTGGCCGCCGGCCGGCCAGCAGCAGCAGCGCTAAAGAGGCGGTGTCGACTTGCAGGCACGCGCGCACCACCACGAGGAGAATCACGAATTAACTTGAGCAAGTGCGCACGATTCGTATATAGGCGGATTGCGATTATCTCATTTTTTCATTCGTGAATCGTGAATATTATGAGCATCTCGAAGGTCTTGTTCCTGTTGTGCCTTTTTGTGGTTGCAAGCACCCCCAAGCGCATCGAATGTCAGGTCTTGGGAGTCCGCCGTCACGATCGCAATCATGAGTGGGCTCTCGAGCGACGTCAAGCTACCTGCAGGCGTCGACGACACTGGTAACGACGCCGAGGCGGAGGGCAATACCTCTGCATCTCAAAGCGGCCTTGTTCATCCTGCTTCCCTCGATGCACTTGCACCATCAGGCTCAGGCTCGAAGAACGCACTGGGAGTCCTGAGCAGCTCGCCTCACAATCTCTCGCCACGCACGGAGCGGCTGCAGTTGGCCAGCGATTCCATCAAAAGCAAATCGTCGACTGATCACCTCTCTCAGTCACCCTCCAGCACGTCCCCAGCGTACCTCTCACCAGGACCCCGAGTTCCGCGACTGGCACACTCCTCATCCCTCGCTTCGATCCGGACAGACAATTCTGAGCCCTTGTACGCCGGCGTAGACAGGGTTGCTCGCAGACAGGTCTCGGGAGGGAGCGTGACCAGCTCAGGCGGCCCCACGGAGTCACCTCTGATGCCACGGAGTAGAGATTCTTCGGCAGTATGGGAAGAGCAGAGGGACGAGAACTTGCGAGAGCTGGACGCAGTGCTTGCATCTTTGCAGCAGTCTGACTCTTTGGATCTGGATTCCAAGGTGAGCAAGCTGGGCTCCTTTGCCATGAGCATACAGCACGCATTTCTGGCACCGGCGCGCCCATCGGACCCGATTATATGCGCCTCTGGGGCAGCGCTGACACTGCTTCTTGCCACGCCTGGTAGCTGCATTTGCTTTCCCAGCTTCAGAGACTCATCCACGAGGGCACCGAGTTACCGTTGACACCAAGAGCAGCCAAAGGCGCTACCACCACCTCCGACGCCTTCAGAAAGTCTGGCGGCTATCTCTGCCTCTTGGGACAGCTGACCGCGCTGGAGAGCACGCGAACATCATCCGAGCGCACTGCTGCTGCGCCCAGTGCTGAAGATCAGCATGGCGAAACATCAGACCTGGCGCAGAGTAGAAGGGAGAGCACGCAAGACCAGATGGCACTCCAGGAGCGCCTCCGGATCGAGATCTTTAAGCTCGTCCTCTCCCTCCTGGCTGCCAATTTATTGAGCTCCACTGCGAGTCTTGCTCACTTCGAAAAGGACGTTGGATGGGACACGCTGCTAGCGAGCTTGCGGCTGTGCACCATCGACGCAACGTCTCCCGCTGCGTTCTTTGGAGCCCTCTTGGGGCTGGCGGTTGGCGATGTCGGAGGCTGGATCGGATGGCTCGAGAGGCTGTGCGCGGAAAGCAACGACTCGGCTCGCGTATCCGCGTATCTTGAAGGATTGCCAAGGGGGGATTCGGGAGCGGACGACAAGGAGCAATACATTCCCAAGCGCGTCTCGGAAAGCTGGCACTCGACTGCCGTTGAGATCCCCAAGGCTATAGGACTAGTCCTCACGCTACTGGACGAAGCCAATGAGCGGCACCGCGACTCTACGCTGCGCTTTGCGATCTGCGCCGTTGTTGAGCGCTTGTCAATAAGTTCAAGGCGAAATCAGGTTATGCTAGCCCAAAGCGGGCTTACGAGCCATTTGATTCAAAGCCTTCTGAAGCGACTACCCGACGCTCGCAGGCATGGTTCTGATGCCTGCTTAGCACGTTCCATGTCTCGCCTTCTTGGGCTTGGACTCGAGAGTGATGCCGCTCGGGTCATATTCAAGCGCTTGCTGGAGCCTGAAGAGGAGCGAGCATCGCACAACGATTCCCTGATGGAATTGCTGGTCAGCGTCGCAGAATCTTCGCGAGTGCCCAACAACATCACCTTTGACTGCTCCATCGCAGGCCACGCGTCTCTGGCCTTTTCTTCGCTTCGACGACCCTTTCCGCCTGGATCAGCATCCAGAGGCTTTTCGTTCTTCACCTCGATCTACATCGAGCGCATAGAGCCATCAGCTGAACTCGAGCTATTTCAACTCTTTGATGGGCCGAGGAATTGCGTTGTGCGCCTGACAATAGAGCCTGGTACTGGCCAAGTCCATTACTGTACCGAGGCCGGGGAATCCGCATCGCGGACGCACTTTGTAGGCGGAGTCATCCCTCAAGGACAATGGACACATGTCTGTCTTGTCCACGCCCGGCCGAAGGGGACCGCAAAGAGATCTGTCGCTCAGCTTTCCATCAATGGCATCCTGGTGGACGAGCAAATGGTGCCATGGCCAGCTTCTGCGACTGGCAATGTTCGGGCGGTCATAGGAACCGCACCACAGCGCAACGCGGGATCGAGCATGTCACCCGGACCCTCGCCGATTTCTGGAGGCGGGTTCCGACGCAAGCAGACGAGTCGCCTGATATGGTCGCTTGGTGTGACGTACTTTATGGATGCTTTGGTGCCGCGGGATCTGCCTTTGGTCCTCTCGGAGCTGTCAAGGACGTACTCTGGCAACCTGCAGGACTCGCTCGGCAAGTTTTTGACGTACCAGACAAGCACCCGGGTCAACCTTCGTCTGAATGCAGTCTCCAAATCCATCGCTGGAGCTCACGGGAGCGGACCCGCAGCTTCGGTTGCGACCGAGCGCGACCTCTCGAAGCATCCGCTGGTCACTGCGATCGCTGGCAATGCAAGAGACCTCTTCAGCGAGGAACGCTTCTACTTTATTGTCTCTTCTGCCAACACGTGGGCACTCGCACGCCAGTCTACTGCTGGACTGGATGCTGCCCAGCGTCCGGGGCCGGTCGTCGTCCTCAATCAGGCCTTGCCTCTGACTCGCGATGCCATCGCCTCTTCTTATGGCTATGCGAAGCTCTACGGTCACCCGACTTTGTCCTGCCCTATTCCTCTAGACGAGACTGTTTGGCAGCTCGGTGGGGTCTCGCTCTTGCTCGCGATGGTCGAACGCGCATCGATGGCTGGCTCGCGAGAGCAACTCGAGGTCGCACTGCGGCTCTTTTTCGACTTGGTCGACAATAGCTGGCGTCTGTCCGAAGACGCGGAGAAGAAGAAGGCGTACGAGGTGCTCAGCTTGCTGCTGCACGCATACCGCAAGCAGAGCGGATCGCTCTCCATGTCCCTGTTGAGCATCTTTGAGCGAGCCGTGGGTATACACGAGGATCGTGCAGAAGATGCGGCCCTGTCAAACCCATTCGTATACCGCCTGTTCATGCTGGACTTTGAGCTCTGGTCGGGAGACGACCAAGTTCAACAAGCGCATCTCGCTCACTTTGCCGTCCTTTTGCGGACTTCGGCACATCGACGGTTCAACATTAAGCGCGTGGCCAAAATGCAGATTGTCCGCAAGGTGAGTGGGGACATTGAAGCATGCGCGGCATCGTCTCGCAGAGCTGACAGCGTTCTCTTTGCTCCGCACCATTAGCTTCTGTATGCCCTTCGCGCCGATCACATAAGCGCAACCTCGCTTTCTGCTGCCATGGAAGCCTTACGGGCGGCCCTACTCGCCAACTTTTCTGATGCCTCGATACGTGCTATCACCACTTATCTCGGCTCGCAGCTTTGCCGCGGGCTGGAGCGGACCAGCAAGCGGGGGTCTGCGCGGGGTCGAGCCCCCACCGTCGACTCCTTTCCACCGTCTGACAGCGCCACGTTTGGGTTCCTTGGCTGCCGTCGTACCACCCTTGACGACTCGAGTGCCACCCCTCTGATGGTATTTGAACTGCTTACAGATGTGGTGCTGCAACGACCAAGCTTCCTGGCCAAGATGGCCACCTCCGTCAGCAACAAATGGCTCCTCCTCTTTTTCCACCCCAAGGCTGAGCGTCGAGCAGCGGTGCTTTCACTTTCTATACTCGAAAAGCTTTTCGCGTCTCAACCGAGCTACAAGGAACGCTTCAACGCGACCGGAGGAATCAAGACGATGGAACGTCTGCTTCCGAGGTTTTGGGCCAGTCCCACTGTTCTGCCCACGTGCTTCGCTATGCTCTTTGGGCGCACTGTCGACGCCGCAGGGGGTGAGGAGGCAGACTTTGTGGAAAGATTCGGACCGCTCTTTTGTCCCAACATCTGCTGTCCGCCAATGCTGCGTGCCATCGTGGCAGCTCTTCGCTTTGGTCTGCGTGAAGTTGCAAGCAAGTCCTCTGATCAACGACGAAGCAATCTACTGACGCGCAGCGGCACCATGAGTCGACCTCGCCAAAGCGCAAACAACGCCAGTCTTTCGCCTGCGATCGCCGCCGGTGGGGCAGGAGGAGGTGGGCACGCGCGCAAGCGAAGCACTTCGATGAATCTGGATTCGCAAGGGCTTGCTGAAGCATTTCGCATTAGCAGCGAGCTTTCTCTGCTCGAGGGCGCCGTCGCCCTGCTCGAACGGCATTGCCGCGCCTCGGCCGAGTTTCGCGATCTCGTCTACTCGCCAATCATTCTGCGCTTGCTGGTAGACGTTATCAGTCCTCACATCGACATTCGCACCCTGGATGACTGGCGAACGCAGCAACGACTCGCATTGGGGAACGCGCAGCGATCAAGCATTCACGAAGCTTCTCAACCGAGTGTCCTGGCGGAGGCTTTATGCAATCGCATCTTGGCGACGCTCGTAGACTTGGCCCTCGACTCGATGATCCACAGCGGTACTGTGGCTATTGTGGCCGCGCTGACTGCGGCTGCACCTCCCGCAGACCTGGTCGAAGCTTCTGCTCTTCGCGCTGCCATCTACTACAAGCTCTGCGACAGCGTTGTTGCAACAATCGCAGAAAGACCTTCGCTGATCAGCAGCAGCAGGGCTTGCGTTGCATTCGCGTCACTTGCCGAAGCCGCGTCCGATGAGGCTTTGCATGGCTCGACTGATTTGGCACAAAAGTCGTTCGACCTCGTCACGACACTGCTCTCCAAGTCGCATCTCAAAGTAAATGAAAATTTTGCTCGAGATGCGACATTCGCGCTCGCGTCGCAATCCCTCGTCACTAGCTTGAACCGGATCGTCCTCTATCGTTTCGCTGCCGCACAGGACGACGAGTCTCGAGCTGCTCTTTTACGAAGAGTGTTGGAGCACCAGACGAGCGTGTTGCTCGAGATCAATACTGACGCTGCCTTTTTGCGCTGTCTGGTCAACCAAGCATTCAAATGCATAAAGACAGAAAGCAAAGACACTCGCGCCGCAGGTGTGAGCCTTTTGAAACTCATGGTGATCTCGAGACCTGCGCTGATTGAGCAGATTATCAGCGACGGCGTGTCCACAACGGACCTGCTGCAACAAGAGGACGGACCGGCAATACTATCTCGGCTCAAGGGAATGGACAGCGATCCTCCTCAATGGCCATTTCAAACGGAATGGCTTGGCTTTCTCAAGTCTCTGGAGACGCTCAAAGCGGCAGCCCACTTGGAGCGCGTGGCTCACGTCAAGGAGCTACTGGATCGCTCAGATGCTCGCGACCAATCTGTCGTGGCGACCGAGCGCCGCATGATTGCGTGGCAGGCCAATCTGCGTCAAGAAGACAATCTTAGGTACACGAAATACCGACACGACGTGCGGGAGCTCTTTGTCTTTGCTCAAGCCGAGTGGAAGAAGTTGATGGCCCAGCTACAGCGCGAAAGAGGCGTTCTCGGCAGCGACGCGGATGGGAGCCGTTTGTGGTGTCTGGATCCTACAGAAGGTCCTACTCGCGTCCGGTCCAAGCTTCAGGAGCTCCCGCCCGCTTTGGAGGAGGTAGTGGATGTACCCTATCTAAAGGAGCAGACAGCGGAGGAGGAAATTGGCGAGATCGAGCAACAACCAGCTTGGAGCAATGGGGAAGTCGACGCTGGCGATACGAGCCTTTGGAGTGACGAGCCAGTGTCGGAACAGAGACCGCCCCCGTCGAGCCAGGCTCGCGACTTGCATGGAAAGACCGATGCTGCGGGCGCAGAAAAGTTCGACGTTGGAGGCGATGGCCAAGGTCTTGTCCGCGAAGAGAACGTTGCGGAACTTGGCGATGGGGAAGAGAAGTTTCGCCGAGTACTGCGGTCCCTAGAGCGAGGAGACGTGATCATGGACGTTTTCAATACATCTAGAGTGGTTGGTATAGAGTGTCGCGCAGCTCTGTTGATAGTTGGCCGCACAGCCGTGTACATCGTCGACGATTACTGCCAATTGGCATCAGGAGAGCTTTGCGCTTCGTGGGAAGTGCCACCAGAACAACGCGACGCACTGGTTATGGCGACTGTGGCTCAGTCGGACGCAGATCACCCTTCGAATCTCATCGCACAGCTCGATGGAGAAGCCCAAACTCGCAAATGGTCCTGGGATCAGCTCAGCGCATGTCATAGACGAGCCTTTCTTCACCGTCGGACGGCTGTAGAGCTCTTTTTCGCAGACGGACAAAGCTGCCTTTTGGTCCTGGACAAGACTGCGACGGTACAACGCCTGCTGATCGAGCTGGCCAAGCGGAATCGCGTCGCGGTTGCGGCCACAGAGCATCTGCTCGACGGCATACGCGAGGGTAGTGCGACAACACACCGAAGTGGTGGCAGCGGCGGTCTGTCATCTCGCCTCGCCGGAGTCTTGGGGCGCGGCGCTCAGCCGGGGCTCCTCACTGCTGCTTGGATGCGGCGCGAAGTCAGCAACTTTGAGTATCTCATGCAACTCAACACGCTGGCTGGCCGCACCTACACCGACCTCTCGGCGTACCCAGTCTTTCCGTGGATTTTGGCAGACTATTCGTCTATGACCCTGAATCTGGACGACCCGGCCTCCTTTCGACGACTTGAGCTTCCTATGGGCGCTCAGACGCCAGCACGACGCCGACAGTATGATGAGCGCTACGCTCAGCTGCTGGAGCTGGGAGAGCCTCCACGTCACTACGGCACTCACTACTCGACTGCCGCTACCGTCTGTGGCTATCTGATTCGTGTGCGACCATTTTCCACCTTGCTGATTTCTCTGCAAGGCGGCAGCTTCGATCTCGCCGACCGCACATTCAGCAGCATCAAGCGTGCTTGGGATTCGGCTTCAGAGCTGACGAGCGGAGACGTGCGAGAGCTGGTCCCGGAGCTATTCTTTTTTCCACAGTGTCTGCTGAACACCAATGTGAGCTAGAAGAAGAAGAAGATGTCGTGCGTTGCATGAGCTCTTACACGTACTGCCTTGTCTACAGCGATTCGACTTTGGCTTGAAGCAAGACGGCGAGACGGTCGACGACGTCGAACTTCCGCCGTGGGCACGAGGAGACCCTCAGCTGTTTGTGCAGCTCCATCGAGAAGCACTGGAGTCAGACTATGTTTCGGCAAACATACACCTGTGGATCGACTTGATCTTTGGGTGGCGTTCGAGAGGTGAAGCGGCGGTCGAGTCGACAAATGTGTTTCATCCTCTTAGCTATGACGATGGAGTAGATCTGGAAGCGATAGAGGTGCGTAAAGTGGTGCGCGGGTGCGCAAAGTGGTGCGCGGGACTTCACTGACACGGAGTAGCTCTTGACAACGTCTAGTCGCCACACGAACGACTTGCAGCTGCTCAATCGATCCACAACTTTGGACAGTCGATGAGACAATTGTTCCACAATCCACATCCACAGCGCTACGTGGCACCTTTGGGCAGAGGGCCACAAGGACAGCGATTAGGGCTGGACGAAACGCCCTGGCTGTTCGTGCAGAGCATTGTGCCAATACGTTCCCTAAAGGGCAGCATCCACTTTATCTACGCTGAGCGCGTAGAGAGGGCGTATGCATCTCCTCGTGATTATCTCATTCTGCCGAAATTGGGCTTGAGCGTCAGTTCGGGACACTTGGACGGCAGCCTCCGCCTGTTCAGTTCAAACGATCCAACGCGCTCTGAAGGCGTGACGGAGCATATGGTGCCAGGACGAATCACGTGCTTCGCTCCAGCAGGCCCTGCCAACCTTTTGGCGGGCAGCAACGATGGGCTGGTCACTAGCTGGAAGGTCGATTCGAAGCGGCACGAGCTGAGCCACGTTGCGACGCTCAGAGCCCACACTGCTCCAGTGATCACCATCACGGCCTGCACCACCTACAGCATCGCAGTGAGCGGCTCTGAAGACCTGACAGCGGTGGTTTGGGATTTGAATCGCGGCGACTACGTCAGAAGTCTTCGTGGACACGAACTACCCGTGCATCTTACGGCCATCGACGAGAAGAGTGGGCTCATTGCGACGGCGGCTGGGACCGAAGTTCGTCTTTGGAACATCAACGGCGATCTGGTATCGCGTGTTACCACCAACGCCAGCGTCTCTGACCCAGTTACAAGTCTGGCATTCTTTGAGAGACAGTGTCACGATCAAAAGCTAGCGTTGCTGCTGACTGGCCATCGTGGCAAGGTGGTCTCCTGGGTGTGCATTCCACGCGCCACAGACGGCTCAATGTCTCGGCAAATCAGGCCCGCAGTCAGCTCCAGCAATCTCAGGAGCGCGAAGCCACTACTCTGGCGTATGGAGGCGCATCACGTCTTTGAACATCGCGATCGGATCGGTCCTTTGACGATGCCCTTGATCACCGCCATCAAGGTCGTCGAAAGTTTTGTAAAAGGTGGCAGTGGGCAGGCTTCGCAGCGTCGACAACAGATCTTGATGGGCGACGAGCACGGTCGCCTGTACATTTGGGCGCTCCCAGGCGACGCGACGCCCATACCAGACGGCTTCGCGACGCACTGCATGTGGGAGGCGTGCTCCAAGAAATTTGGCGTGTTGGAGGCCAAGCGAACCTGCTCAGCTTGTGGGGGGCTCTTTTGCTCCAATTGCGCTACGCCGTATCCGGCGTGGAACAATGCACGATTCTGCGAGAGCTGCAAAATGCTCTTGAGCCTGCTGCCCGATCCGCCCGCTCCCGTCAGTCCCCAATCTGCGCGTACAAGACCTCTAGAGCGGTAGCATCGCGCGCACAAGACCTCTAGAGCGGTAGCATCGCGCGCACTGTAACGCTCGTGAATGCGCAAATAACAGCTAGATCTTGCACAAGTCAGACTCGGCATATGTAATACGTAGACGCAACAGTCGATTTGTGCAATTTATCAATGAAATGCGTGGCAGAGCCGTGCGCTATTGCTGAAAGAGAGACCTGGGCCCACACAATGGCACACAAGTTCGACGTGGCGCAGATCATTGTACGTGAATGACGTTCTGAGTACTTTTGTCAATCCACACCCTGCCAACTCTCTTCGCGAGTCGAGCTGTCTCTTTGAGATTGCGCCGCGTCGTCCGTTTCTGTGAAGCAGATCGCTGTACGTGAACGCTGCCCTGCATGCCCCCTCTCTTGCCATTTTGCCACCATCACCGTGTTTCGAACATCATGATACCAAAGCGCAAAGGTTCAGGACATGAAGAAGCTGGGGCTGCTCTACCGTTCACCGCCTCTTGACTATCATGATGCTGATGGTGATGACGGCGTTTTTTTGTGAATTGTAAGCATGAAGTTTGTCGAGTGGAAAGCACAACAACATCAATTTGCATTACACTGACGAGGGCTTGCCAGGCGCAACAGTCACCTACTGAGATGCTCGAGACGAATAGCGGGCAATCATAGAATCTGGACTACCGGACAATGGTCGTCATGAGCGTTCACGATGGCAAAGCGCTTCGCATGAAGACCCTCCAAAGTCGCAACGTAGTCCATGAGCGCGATCTCTGAGCCTGGGCATACATTGACACCACTTTTCTCGTCCCCCCCTGCTTCTCATCCTTTGAATCGCACGCTCCTCCCAAGCTGTTCTGGCTCCCTTTCTTTCATTCCTTGAATCGCACGCTCCTCCTAGCCCTACCTGATCTCCTTGCCTAGCCCTTCGTTTCAGCAGGCTCCCGCAGATGCGCCGAGGAGGGGACATGAGCGAGTGGCAAAAATCATGCCTTACAAAACCCTCTGGCGGCGGTCGCGCGAGGTCAAAGGCGCGAAATGCTGCTAATTTAGAGTCGGAATTGAACGAAGATGCCTCTACGTCACCCGGTATGTCTGCAGATGAAATGATTGAAATAAGCAACTGCGGCGTACACCTTGCGACCCGCGTGTACCGCCTGACTGCCGCGAGCAAGGTCCGACAGGTACCGATGCAATCGAAGACCAGACGGGTAGCCTATGGAGAGAAGAGTGGGGGGCCAAAGGGCCGCCAGCGGACCGGCCATCCTAAAAGATCGACGCCCCGTGAGCACTCGGGGCCGCCAGTGGTAAGAAGAGGAAATACGCAGCGGGTCGTGACCCGAAGTGACAGGGCAACGAGAACGGACCAAGCAATTGGACGAGGCGTGCAACGAGGGCAATCGGTCCCAGCAACCTTCCTGGAAGCAGTCCGCAGATAATACCATTTTCCTACGTATTCGAAGCTAGAAATGACTGGACTGACCCGAAAAAGTGCGCGGACCAGCACAGCCCTTCGATGATGATGATGATGATGAAAAAAAAACGTTCCCGCCTGGGCTTGAACCAGAGACCTCGGAGTGTGTTATTAGCCGCACATGCTGCTATTAATTAACAGCTCCGCGCTCTACCAACTGAGCTACAAGAACTATTCTTCAAATGAGTATAATATGATATATCAAGTTGCGGCCATAAACTCGAAGCTTGCTCGGAGCCGCATCCCGAAATCCCTCAGTCCCGCAATCCTACTACTACTGCATGCGCAGCGCAAGATTCACGATTCAAGGCGCGCGTCCACGCCGGGCTGCAGTCGCGTGCCGGCGGTATACCTGCAAACGTACGTCTCGCGCATACGCACGCACCGACTTTGACTTCAGTCTGCCTCTTAAGCGCGATTTTCTGGCACCGTTGGTCAGTCATGTCCCCGACGGCATGCTTGTATTTGGGACTTCAGAGGTGTACACTAGTGACCTGTCCGCTCGAGAAAGGAGTGCCTGTACGCTAAGGGTCAGGTAAGCACGAGGTTTCCTGCAGCATGGGCAAGCGATCGATAAACTTCAACACCGCTGAGGGTTGCTGGAGCTGCCCGTGGTCACAGCTTCGAGGAACCGCTTGCTGCGGGCCCTGCGCTCTTCTTACGCTCGCGGAAGGTGTTCGCCCAGTAGCTGGTGATGTGCCGTTGGCTAACTGCTGGGCAAGCATCGATGAGCGCTTGGACGTCGCTATTTGGCAGGGGGTCTTTGGGGTCCATTGCCTTTGACAGCTCTTCTAACCGTGCAGCAAGCGCCGGGTACTCCTGCTTGAGAGGAGGAGACCTTGGCTTTTGGACCCTTCTGCTGGGGCACAAAACACTCGAGGCATTTGTGCTCACATGCGGCCCGTCTTTCCTCAGCTTTGGGTTGCCTCCCTTTGCCGCCTGCCTGCGCTGTTCCCCATAGGTCTTGAGGTCAAAGCCAGCTTTCTGCTGATTCACAGCACGAGAGCTTTGGGTTGCCTCCCTTTGCTGCCTGCCTGCGCTGTTCCCCATAGGTCTTGAGGTCAAAGCCAGCTTTCTGCTGATTCACAGCACAAGAACTAGCCCCTCCAGCACTTTGTGCAACCTTGGCACCTTTGCGCAAGCCCAGGAACCAGGCCTTTGCTTTTTCATCATCGTATCCCTTGGGCCTAGGAAGACTATTGTGGTCATC